GCTGGAGCTGCGAGGGCGGCTGCGAGCCTCAGGGCTGGGAGACTGGCTCCGGGGCGACCTGTTGGGGAGCAAGGATCAGCCAGGGAAACGCTAGGATTCGTGGCTCTCTCTTGTCTCTGCACTCTGGTTCTCCTCCTCAATAAATAGCAAGGGCAGCGGGGTGCAGTGGCTCCCGCCTGTAGTCCCAAAATACTGAGAGGCCAAGGAGGGAGGATCGCTTGAGCTCAAGAACTCGAGACCACGCTCGGCGCCCATACCTCAGCAGTTAGGGTGCCAGCCATGTACACCAAGACAGGCTGGTTCAAACCCAGCCTGGGCCTGCTAAACAACTGCAACAACAAAAAAAATAGCTAGGCATTGTGGCCAGCGCTTGTAGTCACAGCTGCTTGGGAGGCTGATGAAAAAGAATTTCTTAAGCCCAAGAGAGGATGCTGTGAGCTATGATGTCGCAGCACTCTACCGAGGGCAACATAGTGAGGCTCTGTCTCAAAACAACAACAACAACAAAATAAAAAACAAACTTGAGACCAGTCTGAGCACCAGTAAGACCCTGTCGCTACTAAAAATAGAAAACCTAGCCAGGATTTGTGGTGCACACCTGTAGTCCCAGCTACTCAGAAGGCTGAGGCAAGAGGATCACATGAGCATTAAGAGTTAGAGGTTGCTGTGATCCCACGGCACTCTACCCAGGGTGACAGAGAGAGATTCTGTCTCAAAAAAAAAAAAAAATTGCAAAGGAGCCTTGGACACCTAGCCTTGACCTCACTAGGCCTGTGAGAAGGCATTGTCTCCAGAGGCCTCATGTATTCCACATCTGCAAGGGAGTGAGGCTCGCTCACTCACTGAGCCCCTCAGGCTGGCCTTTGAACCAACTTTGATCACTGGCCATTTTACAGATGAGGAACTGGAAGCTCAGAAAAAGTAAATAGGACCATCCCAGCTAGCAGGAGTCAGAGTTAGAGGAGAAGTCAGATTTTGCTATTTCTTACCCTGACCTTGGGGTCCTTACACATGACTCATGCCAACTCACCATACACCAATGCCAACTGAAGAGTGAATTCTATGTCCTTGTCCCAGCCTCCCCTGGTCATATCAGTGGGACCTTTGGGATCATTCCTCCTCTCCAGAGCCTGTTTTTACACTATTTCAGGGCAAGGGTGGGGTTGAAAGAGCGGGTGATGATACCCATGACAGCACTACCTGGCAGAGTGTGAAGTACCAAGTGGAACGTAGATTGCTCCCAAGTCTGAAGTAAACTGCCAGGCCAGCTAGCCCAAGAAAATGGGCCCCCCCAAAAGGTTTCTTCTTTGTAGAAGAAACTATGGGTGAAAGGTAATGTAAAATTGAGTGCGGATGGTGTGGGGACACCCTTGGATGAGGGGGGTTTGGGGGCTCTTGTACATTGCTTGCCCGTTCCTGTGGTATAAATTCTCCACCATGGCAGAAAGCCTTGAAGCCGTTCTTGGGAGCCAGGACGACTCAGTACCAACACAACACTGGCAGAGTGATTCCCAAAATGAAAAACTAAAGTGGAACTTAGCAAAATGGGGGTGGAGCTGGGGGGTGACTTTGATAGCCTGGATCAGGGCAGATGGGGCACACTGGGAGGGGTCGTTATAAACAACCAGGGAAGTGCAGAGACTGCCAAGAGAAACATCCTACTTGGTTCTCTTAGCACTAAATTAATGACCTGTCTTAGCGTCTGTCAGTAGAAGGGGATTTCACAAGCACACTTAGGCTGCACACAGGGTCAAACAGTGACCTCTGAAAAGGAGATCCCCTGCAGTAGAGTGAACAGCCGCTCCTGGAGAGGGGCTTCCTAGGCCTCAGGGAAAGGACCCTCATATTAGGAACATTCTGTCAATGTGTTATAGGACCCTGTTACAGGCCCACACAAGGCGGCTTTCCAGCCAAAGCCAAAGCTTTCCCTCCATGTATCTCTCAGCCCCAAACTAATTAGTGCCCAAGTACTAGTAACCCCAGCAGTGCTTTCTCTGTCTGGAAGGGTGCAGTTAAAAAAATCCCTTGGATTCACAGCTTCCAGTATCGGGGAGGTTTTGGTTCAGGCCATCATTTCGCTTCTCCCCGTCCTCCCACAAGCCAGA